TTTCCCCAGTCCTGTCCTCCGAATAAACCCGAGTTATTCGACTTCCTGGTCCGCTTGTATGCTTTCCTGCTCGCCTGCAGCACTGCTCGTGACAGCAGCACTGGAAGCAGCACTTGTTCATAAGTCGGCTCCTTTGGCCCATTGTCAGCCGTATGCTTATGATGTATTATCTGTGTAACTATGATGCTTCAGTAAACAACCCACCAGCACCCTATACACACACACACACAAGCACACGCACTCACACACATTCACACACAAGCACACACGCACGCACACACACACACACACTCACACGCACGCACACACACACACATATAATCTTGATAATCTTGATCTCATAACAATGGTACATGGTCTGGGATATATTAGCCAGTAAAGTACTCGTAGTCAACATAGGCCCAATTTTCAAAATTGTGCTTAATTGGAAAAAAAACTGTAAGTCCAATTTATCCAACACACTATTGCATACATTCTTGCCACGTATTTCACCCATGTTTTCCCTGGCTACACAGCATTCTTTACGGGACTGTATGCTTTATGTGACTCATGGTGGAAATGCTGAAATGCAGTAATTAAGGCCCTTTAGATTTAATTACGTAAAACTTATTCAGTGTAGAGCATAAAATAAAGAAGAAATAGAAGATGTGTAACCCTGGGTAACTATGTATGTAGTCTAATGTCCAAGACACATGAATGCACGTGAAAATAAATATTCACATTAGCTGTGTATACCAGCAATCTTTATTCACGCTAGAGACAGATGCATCACTCCTTATAATTCATCGGTTTTGATTCCTTTTTGATGGTTCTTTCTCAAGGACACTAAGCTTCCCAGCCGCACCCCCGTCTGATCTCCTGAATGTCTGCCAGTGCTGAAGGGAAAGACAAAGAGAGATGCAATGGAAGCTTAATAATATGTCATTCTACAAGTAACTGAGCTGTAGAAATAAATTACACAATGATATTTTGGATTCATATTCTCACTAATAGCACATACAAACTACTCATATTATGAGTGAAATATGTTGAAACCTTCTTTGCAAATCCGCACTCAGGTCATGCTTCTTTAAATCCGGGATTAATGATGATGTATTCGCTCTGGCATTGGTGGCAGTGTCTTCAAGAACAGGAACTTCACTGTTATTATTCCATTCTTTGACAGACACAGTAAGAATCCAGTTAAAGTAAAATTCAACAAGCTAATTTAAATAAAATGCAATCTCATTTACTAAAAGAGATACCCAGGGCTATGAAGAGTGTGACTGTATATTTAGTTCTAACTTTTATGTAATATATCAGTCTCCATGGTCATTGACAGATGAGGATTTGAGTCAAATTGTAGTTTTATTATGGCTAGACCTATAATGGTTATATTTTCTGCAGTCAGTATATTTTCCCAGTAAGAAACTTCTAAACAATCAATTATTTTTTATGAATATATTCTTACCTTCTTTGTAATCAGTTTCCTGCCCTTTGCTAGTTTCTGAGGATGTTGAAGCGTCGGGTATGAAGTATTTGGTTGCTCGCTTTGGCTGAATCCTTGAGGGTGGTTTGGCCTTATCACTTACGGTTGAGGCAGAAGGGCTACAGGCAATGGACGGTAGCGGCCGTTTTGATGACATGAATTCTGGAACCGCTCTTGATATCGCTCCACTGCTTGCAGCTGAGGATCTTCTAAAGGCACGCGAGCATTTACATTCACGTTTCATAGATGGAAACTTTCACAAAGTGTGTTTTTTATTCTGTTACCTGCATGGTGAGGAGCGAAATGCTGGGTACCCTCCTGAGGAGTTGAGAAACACTATTACCAAAGCAGCAGATTAACATTTACTAATTAAAATCTCTGTGGAATTTTTTTTTTATTACTTTAAAAAAAGGTAATTCTGCAATCTCCATGATGTACAATGCTGCATTGAAACCAACAAAGTAAACTAGCAGTGCTAAAGTTTGATGCATAACAGCATTACAGTCCGGTCGGACTTCGAGGTCACACATCAAGCTACCCCCTTTCTGAGACTTGGAAGTGAGAGGCATTAGAGGAGCAGGGATATCCTGGTCGATTCAGAGGGCCCAGTAATTTATATGGGAAGTTCTATTTATGTAAGACCACTATTTTTTCAGATTAAAAGTGCAAACGCAAGTGGGGGGGGGGGGCAGAATTTCTAGCAACGTCCCTGTTGGAAACATACCTCTCATGTAGACGTTTGTTTCTAAGTCCCAGGTAAATATCAGGGGGTGTGGCTGAAGAGTTCTGTACTTCTGTGCGAAGCGAGGGAGCCATCTTTGCCGGTTGGCTGTGATTGGGAATGGCTGGCGGGGGGGAGGCTGCCAGTGACCTTGTATCATGAGGTGCAGTTGCTGCTGCAGGCACTCTTTGCTGCTTGTCTGCCGCTCATCTGTGAATGATAAACAAAATGTTCATATGAATCTACTGTCAGTAAGAAACGAGCTAAAATAGCTATAGTTTTTGTTACAATTTCTTATAAAAAGTTGGGACAAAGTAGTGCATATTTTTGCTCTCAAGGTGTCACGGTGGCTCAGTGAGTATCAAAAAGACGCCAAAAGTGTAGTTTCCTCACATTTCCAGCACTGGAGGTTTGAATATTGCTGCTGCTTTGTATGCTCTCCCTGTGCTCCTTCCCGCAGTCCAAAGGTATTCAGTAAGGCTAACTGGCGGGTCTAAATCACTCATAGTGTAAGATTGTGTGTGTGCTGTGATCCAGAATGCACCTTGGCCTTGTGCCCTATGGTGCCTGGAATGTGCTCCAGTACCCCCTGTGACACTGACCAGGATAAGTGGTTAGAAGATGAATAGAGGGATGGATATTTTTGCTATTTTGAGCACTTTTAAAAGGATTTTCTGTACTATGTCACATTCAGTGGTAGTAGCAGGATTTCTGAAGTCATTCTTCATAATCTTACCAACGACAGATTGACGGGTAGAACGACATCCATCCCAACTGTATAATTTGCCAGCAGATTCCAAGCAGAAATTCTGAAAAATTCATACAATGCAGGTAGCAGTTTCTTCTTGTTATCGAGCAAAAACTACAAGTAGCTGAAAGTAACGTGGAACAAACATGGCTGCACCACTACCTTCAGCGGTTTCTCCACTGTCGGGGTGATGTGCCCAGTGCCGGTGGCAGACGGGGAAACCCAGGTCCGCTCACTCTCACCACTCCCTTTTCCCACAAACTGTACCTGTGATTTACCCTGTATGAGTATTTTTATACCGTAACAAACTCTAGCAAAATACTATGAGTAGTTGCATTTCATTCTGCCCACCAATTCTCTCTTCTTGGTCATTCCCTCCACAGCTGGTTCTTGCATTTTAATTTTCACTTCTCCCTCACTTGTTAGCACTGGAACCTGGGAGTCACAATGAAAATGTAAAAAAGTTAAAAACATGTCTTAGCTGAAATATGCATTGGCTTGATGTTAATACTGCCCATCATTCATGAATTTTAAAGACACTGCAAATCTCTGCTGGTAACTCTCTTACACACTACAGCACACTATAGTTCTTTAAATGGAACTGACATTAGCAACGGTACGATATGAAAATTTAATAACACGATTATAGTGACCAAAATGATCAGAAGTATCAGTATTATTGCGGTATTGTTAAAATGTGCTGAAAATGGCCAGAAAGTAATAATACACAAACTGAAATAATTTCAAGTTTTATGTTGAAAACCACAAAAAAATAGCAGCACTATGCACTTTTTGTTTTCATAAACATCATCAATACCTTATGTAAACACTTAAAACCCATATCAAATGTGCATTAACATTAAAAATATCTGGAGTGCTGTCATTGCCTTACGGCAGGTTTTCATTGACACTAAACAAACCCATGCTGCATGCTGTACCTCCACACCTGCGTCTGGGAGCCTGTTGCTAAATCTGGTTGATGCTGGACAGTATTAAATGTGAGTTTTTCCAAATGCGATAATCGACCACGGTTTTAAAGATAATTAAAAATTGCAACGGAAATACTAACTGTCAGGAATTTTACCATGGTTTACCATGAAGATGGTAACCGTTTGATCCCTAATGGGTTTTAGAAATTAAAATGATCACTATTTTAAAACTACGTCAGGAAACTGGAAGTATTGGGCAAAAGGTAGGGGGATGCATTGGATGGGATGCAAATCCTTACCAGGTCATGTGCTCTCACAATAAAAGCAATTTGGAGACACCAGTTCCCCCAACCAAACCTCATGTTTTGCATTACAGGGGGAACTCTGTATAAATATAAAGGAAACATGAACAGTCTGCAGCTACAGAGCTATAAGCCCGGAAGCATGAGCCTGCATTGCTGCCAAATGAGCCAGAAATTATTACTGTAAATATACATATAAAATAAGAAAATGCTTTATCACATTTCTTTCTGAAATTCTGAACACAGAAATTCTAAAAAAATAAAAGTTTACAAAACATGTTCCAATACAACCCAAACAAAACATGACAACAGGTCATACCATGCTTTGTATTTCTTGCTTGGTGCTTTGAAATTTTTTCTGATGCAATCTGTTCCTTTCTTTGCGTGTCTTCAGATGCTTTTTCTTGGATATTATTGGCTAAGAAATATAGCAAGAAGTCATAACATGGCTCATACAGATATGATGTCTATTAAAGGCAAAATTAAGCAGAACATGAGAAAATGGTCAACTTTAAAGATTTGATGGTACGGAGATACAGATATAAGGTCAAAGTCAAAATGATTGAAAGCCGGGAAATACCTTCCCACAGAAAGACACCATACAGCCAAAAGTATGTAGACACCAGTTTTCCAACATCTCAATCCAAAACCAAGGGTATTAATACAAAGTTGGTCCACCCTTTGTACAGTAGATGTAACAGACTCCATCCTTCTGGGAAGGCTTTCCATTAAATGCTGTAAAATCGCTTTTGGGATTTATTTCCATCGAGGTTGGATATTGATGTTGGGTCATCAAGTCCTTTTCCGTGAGTTTGTGTGGCTACCACCTCTTGACTGTACTTGGTCCCAGACATCTGCACTTCCAATTACTTCATTTGCAGTTGACCACAGCAGCTCAACCAGGATAGGAATTTGTTGAACTGCTGGGTTGGACAGCATTCTGTGATGGCCCATTCCATCCATTCATTTTCTAATTTAATTTCTTAATTAGCCAATGCCTCCAATTAATGATTGTGTCCACATACTTTTGGTTATATAATTGTGTCCACATACTTTTGGTTATATAATTGTGTCCACATACTTTTGGTTATATACTATGTGTTTATAATTGTTATACGATAGTAAGTTTGTCTTTTATGTACCTCATTTGGGATGTATAGCAGATGGACAGGCGGGCCATCAGACTCGGTGCTGTTTGAACCACTTGTGCTGTAAGACAACATAAAATTGTATACTTAATAATATGGAAGTATCATGTTACTACTATAGTATTTGTACCTTTATAGGCATGAATTTTATTTAATACAGTTCTTTAGAAACAATATAACATATTTGCATAAGCTAACTTATTATTGTATATCAAATAAATTAGTTAAATACACATTCCACACACAAATCATTACCTGGATTCAATGTCAGACACAGAAATACTACCGAGTCCATCACTGTCCACATCTACTCCCAACTTCTGCTGGATCTTATGCTGCAGCAAGACTCTTAGCTCATCCAAGCACCGACAGGCCTGAAGGGTCAAGCGGAGTGATGAGAACAGAAACGGGTTGGAAAACCACACGCAAACGTAAAATTAAATCTTACAAATGTATCTCTGATAAACATAGGAGGTAGACATAAGCACAGAGTTACTTCATGAAAAAGGAATTCAACTTGAAATTCTTAATTTACTAGAACAAATAAATCATAATTGCAAATGCAGCAAAGTGAAACATTAGGTTTGTTGCCAATTAGCAGCATGTGTTGGCTATAAAAGAGATCTGCATCAACTTCTCTGTGAAGTAGAGACCGTTCTTGAAGAATGGCCCGATATTCCACAAATCTAGTTCAGGACTTATATGACAGCATTCAAAGAAGGACGTGAAGGATTTCCTATTAGCTCCTTGAAATTATTATAGTGTTACAGGTAACAGAACCTTGAAATATTTACACTAACAACCATCTAATACGTACACTACATAAATGTTACAGGTAGCACTTTACTTGAAGGGGACACAAATAATGTAGTAGTACACTCTTACTTAATGTATTAAATAACCAGAAACTAAGTGTTACTTACTGATCCCATGTTCATTCATCTTTAATCAATCAGAATAGTTAGTATATTTTATGCAGTTACTATATTATTAGTTTGTACTTGTGGTTTGTACTTGAGTAGTAGCTGAGTTACTAAGTTAATTGTGCCCCATTATGTAAAATGTTACCATATTACATTACAAATTATTAATGAAAACCATGCAGTAAGTAAAGTTCTGGACCTTGGCTGGGTCAGGGTCACAGTAGTCCAGGAGAGTGTCACAGAAGAGATATCCCAATGATTTCAAGTCCTGAGTAGAGAAATGTGTGCCTTTCCTTTTCCCTACAAAACAAAAATAACAGTATATATTACATTAGAGCAGACACCAGAAATTGCAGTACCTCATACTTACGCCTGTTAACCTACCCAAGGTGGATCCACCAAAGGTGGATTCCATAGTGTAGCTATTGGTAATGCCCAGCTTCCACATGACAATGCGTGCTGTGCCCTCTTTGTGTTTGCTGACTTTAAATTTGCAACTTTTGTATGAGAACTGCAATGGCAAAAGAAAAAGATTTTGAAATTGATTTTGAAACCTGGAAATAAAAAAACACTTTTTTAAACATCAGCATTATTACTAAAATGTTGCAGAAAAATCAGTAACTATGATAGCTGAATTGTGGATCCATATGCTTTTCACGCTAGACTAAAATTTAAGTCTGCAGAAAGTTTCGGAATTTGCCTGGCTTATTGATTCTGTTAACCAGTCCTCTGGGACCCAAAGTTGGTCCATGTTTTCGCTCCCTCCCAACTTCTGGCAGGAAGCAAAAATGTGGACTGTCTGTGGGTCCCTGAGGACCAGATGGGGAAACACTGTGACTATGTATAAATGCTTCATGGTTTGACATGCAGACCAGGGCCCTACTTTATCAGCTGCATTCTTGCTCATCATCAAGGGGAAGACTCGTGCCTGCAGAGTGGTTCTGCTGCCATTGTCGCAGCCATACATGAAGACGTTGTTCTTCCTACTGTGTCCATGAAAGTCACAATAGAGGATCACCTCTCTTTCAGTCATCAGTCTGTGCCACCAATGCAGTGATATCACAGAAAAACAGTTACAGGTCAGTGAGGCTACTATTATCTAATTCTGTTTTACACCAAACCTGACATTCCCATTTCTGTCTTTATGAGCACAAAATATGGACAGGATGCCTGTCTATTACAGGACATAAATACACATACTATGGTAAATTTAGAGATGCCAGTTCACCTAGTCATATGTTTTTGGGCTGTGGGATGATACCAGTGCAACCCATGGAAAACATGTGAACTTCACACACATACACCGAGCATGGGTACAATTCAGACCTCCAACCCAGGTGTGAGGAGACAGCCACCAAAAATGTTACCCTGTCCGCAGTACACAGCAGCAGAAGACAGACACCGATACTCAAACTCACTATGAAATACATGTTCCTTGCATTTTGTTTAATGTCATTCTAGCAACCTGAATTAAACTATTTATTTTCTAGTTTTTCAATATTTAGTTCTTTTTATTCATAGCTTTGGCTGTGTACACTTCAAACAAGGATTCATACCATAAGTAATATTAGACAGAATTATTAGTCTATTAGAATGAATGGATTTTCTCCTTTACTTCCTATAACAACGTTTCCCAACCCAGTCATCGGAGACCCCAGACGACCCACGTTTTTACTCCCACCCAGCTCCCTGCCAGACAGTCCACATTTTTGCTCCCTCTCAGATCTCTACTGAGAGATGGGAAGGAGTAAAAACATGGACTGTCTGAGGGTCCCCAAGGATTGGGTTGGGAAACACTGTCCTAGAGCAACACAATCAAAAACTTCCCGGGAGAAGATCTAGAATTATCTTACTGATACAGATATGATCCCTTAATCCAACACAAACAGTCACTTAGGTTCTCTATGAGATCATTGTGATATTAATGATCTCCAACTGATTAATGAGCAAGACCTAAACATTCAGATAAAGGAAGCTATTTTCTCCATATATCACCTTTTCATCATATTGTGCATGTGCCATACGCAGGGAAAGGAGTCGCGAAGGAGAGTGCAGTAGTTGCGGTTCAGATCGCGGCCAGCCAGTGAGCAGCGGTAGTTTCCTACCACTACGCCGTCGGGGTTCAGCATGGGTACCACCTTGAAGACAAAGGTGTCACGTAGCAGCTGTGCATCCTGGGTGTCGCTCAGCAAGAAGTCCAGGAAGCCCTGCATCATCCAGGAACTGACGGTCTCGCCAGGGTGTACGCGAGAAGTCACCACCACAACTCTCTTTGCCCGGCCCACTTCTCGGCTAATCGAGGGAGACGTGACGGTCAGGACGTAAACCGCATTGCCAGCCAGGCTGTGGCACAGCACCCGCAGCTTGCAGTGGACAGCAGTGGCTGGATCAGAAGTCACACCCATTAGGTAGCGCTGCAGGTCTGAATAGGTGTATGGGTAGCTGTGAGCTAGGTAGCAGATGTCAGCCTCGTGGGGAAACTGGAACGTCCAGGTGAGCAAGTAGAAGGCTTGGCCGTCGTCCTCACGATTGTTGCGGTAGTACTTGATGTCCGACCCGACTCGCATCCAGCCCACCCTCTGAGTCTGGGCGGCTCGCTCAGAGTATAGAAGGGGCTTCATACCCGAGCTGTACAGGCTTCGAGATTTCATGAGGTTGACAATGGTGAAGCGGTAGGTCACATCGGCCTTCATGTTCCTCACTTGGAAGTAGAACCACTGAGTGTGCTTGGTGGTGTAAAGGTCAGTCCGCAGGGTCAGCTCATAGTCATACACTCCACTGATGTAGAGAATAAAGAGAAAAAAGGTTCATTTGAAATATTATAGAGATATATTAACAGTTCTATGAAAACGTAAGAGTGGCATGGTGGTGCAGTGGTTAGCACTGTTGCTTTAAGACTCCAATACCATGGCTCCATGTGTGTAGAGTTTGTATGTTCTCCCAGTGTTGTCGTGGGGTTTCTTCCAGGTATTCTGGTTTCCCCCACAGTCCAAAAACATACTGAGGTTAAATGGTGTTACTAAATTGCCCATAGGTGTGCATGTGTGAATGTGTCCTGCAATGGGTTGGTGCCGCATCCTAGATTGTTCCCTGCCTAGTGCCAATAGGCTCTGTACCCCCTGTGACTCTGAATAGGATAAGCAGTTACAGAAACTGGATGGATATGGAAATATATATATTGAATTTAAAATAGTTTAAAAAGATAAGATTGTATTTTTTAAGATGGTTGCTCTTTAAATTAATGTTGACATCCCCAGGGCTCAAATTGTTATGGGATGCCATCTCCCCTGTGGGAAAAAATGATGAAAACCATCCTCTTTGAAAATATAGCATCCGCCCTAATGATCCCCCTAAATTATTCTGCATAATTTCACTCTCGTTAAGGTACAGTAGATCGACTGACAATATCATGGTGGACCTTGGTCCTAAACACAACTCAACCACTGGTAAACACCGGCTTATTAATGACTTTATTTTTAAGTTTTGAAGGTAAATTTAGTGAAGTATTGTGTGAAGTATTGTGTGAGTGTTGCGATTACTAAGTCTTCTCTGTTTTTGCTTACCTGACTGTTCTCTGGCTTGGTTCTGTTTAATTATTTTGATTCTGTATTTTGTTTAGAACCTTGTTTCGCCTACTTGCTTTCTGACACATTTCTGTTCTCAGTGCTGTATTTGGATTTCGACTATTGGCTTGTCTGGTTTTGAACTCTGGTCCAGTGTATATCCAGTAAGCTTGCTTTTAGGTGATATAGACACTTAGTTCTTGATTGAGAAAACAATATTGCTAAAGACACTTAAAATCCAAAGTTTCATAATACACATTATGATCCTTACAGTTAAGTATCTGTCCCTTGATCGTTTCCCAACTCATAGTTGTTCATAGTTGTGTGTGATAATTAGGAAATACTCTGAGGTCTTTCCCTGAACATGAGCTTACATTACAGCAGTGGTGGAGGAAGTACTGAAGCTTAGTACTTAAGTAAAAGTACAAATATCCTACAAAATATGTACTCAAGTAAAAGTAGAACTAAGTAAGTACTAAGTACTTACTTTTAAATTTACTTTAAAGTATTTTTTTAAGCAAAAGTACTCACACAATGGTTTGTCTCAACAACCATTTTGCCATTTTGCAAAAGAATAGTAAATATACTGACTTACGCCTCTACCAATGTCATTGCTCATAATAATTACAAGCAACTATACAGTATATGTGTATTGGAAGGTTTGGTGTGCTTATTGTGCGTGCACTCTGCAATACTGTGTGTACCCTAACTTAGAATTATGTGGATGACAAGTTATCTACTAGGTATTACCCACTAATATACCATTAAGATAAACCAATCAGGACATGATATATCTTTAAATCATTTATGTACTTACAAAACTATTCAACACATCTGTTAAGAGCAGTAAAAGGGAGACACAACAGTAAGCAAACACTAGTGGTGGGGTGGCACCATGTTGAATGTCTCGTCTTCTTGAAATCAAGCCAGTCTACCAGCTTGTGCTGCTAATTGACGCGCGCTCTACCATCATTGGAGCTAATAAAGCCACCTGATTGGTAGGAAATGGCAAACAACGCCAGAACGCAATAGGCTAACTATTTTTTCATGCAAGATTTTGAGGAAATTGTGTTCATAAAATGTAACGACTAACGGCATAAATTGTAGAAATGTAGTGGAGTAGAAAGTACAGATAATTGCCACAAAACGTAATGGAGTAAAATAAAAAGTATGCATTATTATTTTTACTTAAGTAAAGTACAGATACGTAAAAATGTACTTAAGTACAGTAACGAAGTACAAATACTTTGTTACATTCCACCACTGCATTACAGAAAAGGCTATTTCTGATGAAGTCCATGCATTTAATACCAGAAGCTCCAGCTGCCATGTGCAGAAACAGAAACACTCACGTCTGCACTGCTTTCTGCAGGTTTCCACTCTGAAATCGGGACTCAAACACCAGGTGGTTGCCATCTCCAACATCTATGCGAGAGGCAGCCTTCCTGATTGGCCCCCGGCTGCCCCCACATCGAGAACGGGTAAAGTAGGGTAACTTTGTGGCTGGGAGATGAGAGACATAATAAAAGTTGTTTTTATGCTATACTGTTATACTGGATTGTCCATTATCCAATTTGAGGACACCAAACGCATTACAATTAGAAAACATTCCTGCAGCATTCACTGGATGAAGCTACTGAAATGCTTTGGATGGGTTACCTGGATCAATACAGTAAACCAACTTTCCTTTCTCTTCCCCCACTGGCATTGGCAATCTTTCATAGCCTGTAGGCTGGTAGAACGGCTCTGGTTCCGGAGGTTCCCATTCTAAAAACAGGAACAATAACGATGTAACTTTTGCACCGGCATAACGATTATGTGTCACGTTTGGCTGCAGCACCAGCAGGACTGCGGCAGCAGTTGTACCAATGTGCTGAATGTTCTCCTTGATGACTTCACACTCTATGGGCCAACGGACCCCCTTGCGCAAACTGGCAGTAGGAGGTACAGAGATGAGCCCCCGTGGCTGACAAAGATGGGGCACAAAGTGGGATCCGTTGAAATCAAAGACAAGTTGTCTGGTCTTGACTCTGGACTGTCCTAGGGCAATGGAAACTGAAGAGAAGAGAATTAAACAGATGTTTAACACTCAGTCTTGCATAGATTTGTCCTGAACGAATATATGTAAACAAGTCCTTTTTCTGTGGCACCTTTAGAAATTATTCTTGGGAAACAGCAACTAAACCAATTTACTGCAATTATACGACTACCCAGAATCAGTAATAGCACAACAGCCAGATTTCCAAACGTCTTGGTATAAGATATAAGATACAGTACATGTATTGTCCTATTAATAATGAAAATCAAAAATAGAACTTAAAATCTGCAAATTTAAACATGTCTTCAGTTAATTAAAGTGCATTTTAATTAAAGCCTTAATTGTTTAGTTTCGGGTGTGAAATAAATAGCCAGTTCACTCACAGAATTTCTTCCGGGTGCACCTGTGTTCACCGTCTGTCTCAGTCCCCGGGTCCTCGCCGTCTGACAGAATGAAGCCATGGATTCTCTCCCACAGTCTATTAGTGGTGACGCTGCTCTGCAATTTACTCTGCAAGCAGTAAGACTTCCTGTCAATGAATAAATTACGGCCAACCATGCTTATAATAAGACTCCAGAAGTCACACTGAATAGAAAACTTCATGACATATGTAACAAGTCTTTTTTCCAGTAGTCAGTTATTTACTGAGAATCTTGAAAGCAAAACAGAGCAATTTTATAATCCAAATAACTTGTGCAGCTGAAAATTTGGGGAGAAGAAACAAAGCAACACCTGATAGCCTATTTTCAATATATTGATATTCTGATATGTTCATACTTAATTCATCACTGTAAACTGTAAACGGTCCAACCGCGGTAAAGTTAGTCTCATATTCGATATTCAGTTTTCCGGCTTTAGGCTACTATCTTTTAACAGAATTAAGCGATTCAAGACAGGCAGTTCTTATGACAGGATTTAGATTTCCAGTACACAGACAACGATGCATCTCGATTATTTTTGCGGTTCAAGCCATTTCACAAATTCAAAATCTTGTTAATAACTAAGAAATTAGGTAATTTCAATTGTAAGGAGATCAGTGCTTTGATCAGTGGACCCTGGGGAACAATGCATACCATTTGGGTTTTCAGTTTATCTAAGTCTGTAATACTTATTAATTACTATATTGTATCCATATAATATGCAATGGGACGATAATTGAATGGATTAATAATTCCAAAATCAAATGAAACAGATGTGTCCTCTGAAGTGTGTTTTGATCAGTGTGCCCTATGGGACAATGCACACCCCCTTGGATTTTTGTGTTATCTGGCAATGTGCGCCCCCAAAAAACTGCTTACCTTGCATTAATAACGGAAATCTGAATATCTAAGGCTAGATTTACAGAGGTCTGAAGGCTTCACAATTCTACATTGACAATACCAGATTACTCCGATGTGTGTACATACAAACACTCATTGTAAATATACAGCTATGAGACATTAAGAATGAAGTATAGCATTTCGTTTTGAAGTTTACCTTTTAATGTAACGTTAGACTTGGGACCTAACTTTGTCAGAATTATTTAACGTAGAGTGAATATTGTGAAAATGGGACACCTGGCAATGTTTAGTAATAGTTTACTTTGTCTTCTAGGCCTATATATTGTTCAAGCTTACATACACATTACATACACATGTTCATGACTGTATTCGCAAGAAGTTTGATTACAGCTGTTAATTTAAATTACACTGCGTACTCACCCTGCATACTGTATATCGAAGCTGGTGAAATTCTCCGCCTGTTTCGTCAGACCGCCCATTCTGAAACTGACTCATTCGAAGAGCCACATAGAGCAGGAAAACTTCCCAAACTCTGTCACAGAGTTAATCAGCAATGCGGGCACTTTTCAGCGACAATGAACACATGAACCAAAGTCATGCGCGCGTATGTGTGTATACATTATATACACACACACATATATAAATGTACACACTTTTTTGTATGTGTGTCTGTGTATGTTATCTATGTATGCATGCATGCACGAAGACGGCGATTGTATAACTTACAGAGAAGAGAGCCTTGATATTTTCGTCCCAAACAGCAGCCAGCACAGTTCGGAGTTAAATGTGTAGATACTATTAGAGACTGTTTACGACTCGTAACCCTGGAAACGTTGTTTCCCTGGAAACCAGATTGCGCTGTTTTTTTGTGAGCTAAAGCCCAAAAGTGGGTCCCGCTGACAGCAGGTAGCGCTATAGCCTCACACATTTAAGGTGACTTTGTATGTGTCTCTCTCTATTAAATTGGCTTATACCTGCGTGGGTTTCCTCTGGATATGCCGGTTTATTTTTGCAGTCCAAACACATATAGTTTAGGTGAATTGGTGCTTGTGCCTTGTGACCCAGATAGCACACATATGTTGAAATGACATTGATTCCATTTCAGACAAAAACGTTGAAACAACGTTGATCTTCAATCTTTCACTTTATAACATTAGGTCAAAGTTTTGCCACCATCATTTTTTCAATATTGAAAATCTGAACAAAAATCAATTCAGTTTCAATGTTGATAATTTAACACTAACCATAATTCAACGCATTTAACTATAATTCATAACATGATACTATCTGGGGAAGGACTGGCACCCTATTTAGGGTGCCCCCAGCTTCATTATTTAACAGGTAAATATGCCTTTTCTCTCTGGGGTTTTAATCTAGGCTTACTGCAACAGTAACACTTTTAATACCCCATTTGAGGCTGTGTGGTGCCTTCAAGGCAGTGAAGCATATATTTATGAAGATCATATTGGAATTCCAATGATTAACACAGTACAAGGATATACAGACACTACAAAAACATGAAATTTCATTGCATGCATTATTTATAGCTGGGCTTGCATTATATGCAGAAGCAATTTGTAGGGTTCACAAAAGACAAGGTGTTGAAGTGACTGGTATAGAACTTTGATTATGTCTTGTCGATACATTTATTTGATATCATGGAGTTGATGGGTTTGTTTCTTCTGAGGACGGTATTCTACTTCATGCAAGCTTGGACTGAGTTCACCAAACCGGACTACATCAAATACAGCAGAGATTTTCTCCTTCAGTGGAGTTACCTTCAGGACCTTTACCCACCTGTGGATCTAGTCATTCCTGACCTAAACTGTTTCGTTGATCAAACAACTGAGAAAAGGGATTCTACTGGCGCAATCCCCCATAGGACCAGGAAGCGTGGTAAGCAGGCTGGTGTGTGGCAAAGACTAAGGAAACAATCTCTCTCCTAGGTCTCCTTGCCTTCTATTATTCTCTCAAATGCGCAGTCTCTTCAAAATAAGACTGACGAGTTGCAAGTCAATAAATGATTTCAAAATGAGCTCTGAGAACCTTGCTTATTGACAATTACAGAGACATACATGGCTGTCAGAGAGAGATTCGGACACTGAAGTGGCCATTAATGGTTTCGATGCACCCACACTGAGATGCAGGAGGGACTGACGTGTCACGAGGGGATGGGGTTTGCTATCTAAACTAAATCAAAGATATTGCAAGCATGTTCTGGTTAAAGAAAGACTATGCGCTAAAGATGTTGAATTGTTGTCCGAATCGCTACGCCCGCCTTATCTGCTCTGTGAGTTTCTTCAAATATTTGTCACGGTCATATACATTCACCCAAGAGCCATCTCCATGTCGTGGCCATCTCCAAACAACCCCCTCAGAAGACAATTGTGGTGCAGAAACACTAGGGATTGTAACATACAGTACATCTTTTCTATAAAAACCAACAGATTCAGACATTCATTTGTGCCCAGTACCATTTCTGTGCTGAATTCAGAGCAGGGATGGTTTAGGTTGGTTTAATATTTGGTTGGGACCTAATACTGTTGTTGATGATTATGCTGTTGCATATTTATGTTATATATGATCCTGGCTGTGTCACTTTGGTCAGTTTAAATTTACTGCTAACATTTCCAGCAGTAACTTATTTTGGTGTTATTTTGAACGTTATTTATACTAGGGGCTTTTATCACTACAAGAATAGTATGATTGGTATATTGTATATGAGTTTTTAAACTATTAATGAGAACTATAAGGATGGGGAGTTGGGGAACATTTTTTCCTCTCAGGTTGTTGTATTCAGTGCCCTTTGTCCTCTTGCTCTGGTGTCTTTGACCCTTGTTCTTTTATGCTTGTTTTTTTGACTTGCTGCAAACCAATTACCTTCTGAGGACAATGACGTTGAAGTTGAAGGAAGTTAAAAGACTGGAAACTACATGCAACACAAAGAAAAAACACAAAACAATGAGTCATTTCAGCAGGAGGGAAAAACCAGACGAAACTGCATTGCCGGTGTGGGTGTGATATATCGGACAATGCTATTGCTCTAGCTGAGCACCAAACATTCTGGGCAGACAGAACGGCGGATGACTCCGGTAAGACCAGAGGCGGAGGATTGTGCATTTATGTTAACAATGCTTGGTGTACGAACTCTGTTATTATTGGGAGACACTGCTCAGCTAGCCTAGAGTTTCTCATGGTTAAGTGTAGACCATTTTATCTGCCACGGGAATTCACCTCCACTATTATAACTGCCGCTTACATTCCTCCCCGACGTTGATGCCAAGCTTGCTATGAACGAACTTCACGCGGCCATCAGCAAACAACAAACTGGTCACCCGGAGGCTGCTTTTATTGTTGCGGGGGATTTTAATCACTCCAACTTAAAGACAGTACTCCCGAAATTTCACCAAAACATTTTCTGTCACACCAGAGGAAACAAAACTTTAGACCATGTATACACAAACATGGCTGAAGCCTATTCTGTGACCCCCCTCCCCCACTTGGGACAATCAGACCACCTTTCTTTGTTCATTACCCCCAAGTATTCACCCCTCATCAACCGTGTGAAGCCATCAGTGAAGACCATCAAAGTGTGGCCAGCGGGGGTAGACTTCACACTCCAGGACCGGTTTCTACACACGGACTGGAGTATGTTTGCTACTCAGGCCACCTGTGGTTCTCACACGAACATAGACAGCTACACTTCCTCTGTTCTGGATCACATCAACACTACCATAGACAGTGTTACAACCCAGAAGCAGATCACCATATACCCAAATCAGAAGC